GTTCCTCTCCTATATCACCTACACCTCCTCCTCCTCCTCCTTCTGCTCCAGCTTCTCCATCACTTAATTATAACTGCAGTGCCAATGTTGCAAACGTAAACGCAATTGTTTCCAAAGTAGTAAAAAATAATGATGCGTTTGTGTGCGCACTGCCCGCACCAACTACTAAATCTTACTGCTGGCGCTACCGTTACTGTTGTTGGTTGTGGTTGTTGTTGTTGCCGTTGCAGCTGCTGCTGTTGTACTTATACANTGATAGCAGTCGTTGTTGTTATTGTTTAAGTTCAAAGTATCATCACCACCGCCGCATGCAACAGCGCTACTTTCAAAGCCATTTGTGTAGACCATGCCGTTGCTATCGTTTTGTTGTTCCACAATATTAACGGACTGTTGAGGTGGCTGTACATTCTGCGTCGTCGCTTCGTGGGTGCTGGCCTCCGCCAGTATCCGTTGTCTTATGAAGGTTTGATGTAGTGGTGGCATGTCGCGCATATCGTACGGTATAACGAACATACGCACTACGGTGCCCATAGGATTCAGCAGAGTTGCCTGTACAGTGCCGGAGCGTGGCACCGAGTAGCCTTTGCGTGGAAGGCGTATATCACACTATAAAAGAGGGAAAGGCATATAAGTAAACATGTGAAAAATGCGTGATAATTTGTAAAAGTTTCAATTTTATTTTAGACCAAACAGCTTCAAGCTTACGATTTAAATTATCTATGCAAAAGATTCACGATAATGAATTTAAAAATTATTCAGTAAATTTTTTGATCAATTCCTTTATATTTGTCGCGCTGTGGCTGCGTGAAACTTTAGGTAACTTTATTTGAATTTAAAGGGACTAGCATTCTAGGCTAGTCCTGGTAAGCTCTAATTGAACCGGAGACTCAAGAGAAGGGTCATAATTTGAACAGCTTGGCCGCAGTTGCCGTTCGGTCACCTGAGCACCTAAGGCCTATAGTTGTACTATTTATTGTTTGTCCTTCATTAATTCTACTTCGTTTTAATAAATTTCTAAACATTTAAAAATTAAAGAAGAAATACAGTTTTCCATCCCACCATTCAGCATTTGTCGCATTGATTAGCACACAACGCCTAGCAATCAATCGCTACTCACCACATACGGCGTACTGAGCGCCTCGCCATGCAGTTCGTAGAAATATGCCGCAGCCGGTATGGTTAGCTGAGTGGGGCAAAAGCCGCCGGACGCGCCCAATAGCACCTTGAAGCCCATCACTTCTACTTTGGGCATCAAACGTTTCTGCAGCAGCGATTCTTCTAGATTGCCAAGCAACCGCTGGCGTCCAAAGGCCGCAGCTACGCGGGCGCATTGCTTCAACGGCGATGTAGCTGGACTATACATGCCACCACTTTCCAAATCTTCATCGGAAAATTGCTCATCCGAACCTAGTGATGAACGATCGGAACGATCGGATAAATGACGTGAGCGACGCTTATAGCTAGCCGCCTGTTTGGCAAAACGTGGCGATAGTGATGGCGAATTGGGTAGCGTGGGTGCCGAAAATGACTTTTGTACAGGTATATTATTAGCGTCGGTGGTGAGCAGAGAGGCAGAATCATTACCGTTGCTGGAATGCATAAGTTGGTGGTGGAGTTGCATTTGATTGCCGCCGCTACGATTGAGTGCCGTCGGCTCGAAGCAAAAAGTGTTATCGTGTGCAGCACCATGTATGGGAATTGGTGATGACTGGCAGCTCGTTATGGTGGCACCCATTGTAGTGGGCATTGGATTGCAGAATATGGGTGTGAGGTTCACCTTGGGCAGGCCCTTGCGCAGCAGCAGTGCGTTATGGCCGCCAGGTTGAGACTGCTGGTGTGACTTAGTGGCTGGCGTAGTAGAGTAAGAAAGGGTTGTGCACAGCATCTCGTTGTTGACACGCGATACACAAAATCCATCGCCGGAAGCGCCAACTGCTTGCATGCTGCGGTCACGTGCATCGCCATGAAGATAATTGCTGTGTAGTTGCAGTAAATTGGGTTTGGGTGTTTGTTTGTGCTGGAATGCCTTTTGTGCGTCTGGTTGCCGCTGCAGTGATTGCTGTTGCTGCTGCTGGCGTGCGGTTTCGTACTTAATTCCGCTCGATGCGGAGGTGGGTGTCTTAAACTGTGATTCATTGAAGCATCCACCCTCCATTAGTGTAGTAAGGATGGGCGGGCTACGGTTTTCACTGCGATTGCAGCCACTGACTGTCTGATCTCCTCCGGCATGGTCACGCGAGGTTGAAAGCGAACAGCGATCAATATGCGGGGTCAGCTTGGTGGATGATAAAAAGGACTCCTGTAAATGTAAAGGAAAGTTCATCAAAACACTTGTTGAGTATACATTTTTTTATCAGTACTCACCTCTTCCATTACTTCGGATTGATGCGGCGGTAAGACACACAGCGGCGTCGCTGGCAATTCCTCCACAGCCACAACAAACAACTGATTCGCATCCACTGGTTCGGCGCCATCCACATCAAATGCAATATCCTCATGTTTCTTCCCACCATCGTCATCGGTGTCATCGCCAATGTCATCATCAGCGTCAGAGCCCTCTTCTTGCAATTGTTCACCAGCTACGACAGACACTTTTGCAACATTGCTGTTGCCAAAATTGTGTTGTGTTTTTTGTCGCTTGCACACTTGACAACCGGAGCCAGTATTTTCATTTGAGCTGCTAATGCTACCAGCTCTCCCAACACCAGCATCCGCATTGCCATTTGCTAATGCTGCACCGCTCAAATGATTATTATTTTGCGCTTTGCTTCCACACGGCTTGCGTGGCTGCTCCTTCTTGTGCTTCGCTGCTGCTGCTGCTTTGGGTGTGCGCTGTATGGCTTGGAGCAACAGTTCGGCCTTGTTGCGTGGTGTTTGTATTATTTCGCTGCTGCTGATGCTCGACGCCGTCGAATCGTCCATATCGTCGATGTCCGGTTCGGTGGGTTCATCTATGGCTTGCTCTCGGCGCTTGCTACCAGCAGCGGTGCAACGCAGACACACAAGTGTCTTCTCCCAGCCACATTGTCGACAACAACTCATGGGTGTCTGTGTGCCCGTTGAGATCATTTCGATGTGCGTACTGGTGCGCACGTGCAACGTAGTCACTGTGGCGCTGCAACATACTGACGCATCTTCGTCACCTTCCTCCATCGGTTGGCAGCCATTGGTCGCCTTAAACTGTTCTTGCTGTCTGCGTTGTAGCCCCAGTGTGGCCCCCAGTTCGCCCGTGGAATCTGACGACGTCGAAAGCGGCTTGCGTGGGTGGTGTTGGTGCTGATGCATCTTGTCACGTTTCAACATACGCTTGCGATACTTCATTAGCTGCTTCTCGCGGTGAGATATATTGGCGCTGGAGCTAAAGGTACTTACGCCAGTTATGCTTTCCCCAATGCTATTGGTTGTGTCACTCATGTTATTGTACTCATCGCCAAATGCCTCAGCATCAGCCTCATCTACTAGCAACTCGTCTTCGTCAATGAAAAACGTGCATTTTTGCTTTGGAGAAGAGCTTGTGTGACTACCGCTACCCTCGGTCTTTTCTTTGTCGCTACTCGCAGTGACTCCGTCGCCACTTTTGCCATTTGAGACAGCTTGCTGGGAGGAATTTGCAGTGACTGAGCTGCTTAGTGAAGATATCGCAGAAGTGGTGTCGACAGAGCTTGCGGGCGGATCATTACCAGCAGGGGGATTATTTATGAACACACGTGTTTGAGCAGCGCCACTCGTCGCCGGCATTAAAGCTGAAGTAGAAGCGGTGACATCACCAAGCGCTGTAGTCGCCGCCGGACAACGCCCTGAACGACTGCTGCGTGGCGTATCCTCCGACTTAAAGCAGCTGTTGCCGTTGCGAAATGCCGCCGGACCCCTACTATTGTCGCTGCCATTGGACGCTGCCAGAGTTTGCGGGGTTCCTGGTGTGGTTGTCAACGATAGCGAAGTGCTGGCTGCTGTTGATGTTGGTGTAGCAGCAATTGTTGTTTTGATTTTGCTTGACGATGCCTTCGACGTCACTGCCGACATTATTGTGGTCGTTGTTGCTGCTGTTATTGTTGACGTGGTCCCAGGAGTGCACAACATAAGTGTACCGATCTTCGGTATGCCGCCGTTGATGCGTGGAAGACTTTTGAGACAAACCGAAATGCTACAATTCTCCGAAATATTGACATTCGGAAAATTGTGTACATTTGGTTTTGAATTAAAGCAGGCAGTGGAGTCAAATGACTTGATGCGGTAGAATATATTAAGGCGTGGTCGTCGATTCGCTTGCAGCACACAATTCAGCTGATTAAGCGTATGCGTGTTCGGTGATGTACCCGGTGTGATATTGATGTTGTTGCTACTGCCTGCGCCGCCGGCACTGCCAAGTGGTGTGGCCAGATCACCGGCGGCGCCTGTGGGTGTGGCAAAAATTATGCGACCCGTATCGTATATGGTCTTATCCGATTTCTTAATCAGATCACACCAGGCACTGATTTGGGAAAAATACAATTGGCTGCGTATAGCGCTGCAGAGTGACGGTAACGTCATGGTGGGCGGAGGAACTCTAAAGAAGGCAGGAAAGAAAATTAAATGAAATTTTATAACTTTTTAATATATGTATTTATTTACACGATGACGTGCACCTGGCCCGTGGCTTGCGACTTACTTTTCTCTTTGAGTTATGATCCATTGTTCGAGCAGAATCTTGTGGTTTACCGGTCCCAAATAAACTTCTATACAAATCGGTTCACCACGTCCCATTATCGCCTCCATTTTATGGCAGTACGCTCGCCAGCGGGAGCACTGTAGTGTGTGGAAATTGATTACTTTTTAAGCAAGGAACTTACCCAACGGAAGCCGAACTTACAGTTATATTTACGTATGACATATCACAGAAATGGTCCTCAGCTTCAGCGGCCTCCCCCTTCGCAAGGCCCATCTTCTTGAGGAACTGATCACAGTGCGGCCCTTGTTGCGGGTACTTGGACGCTGTTGTTGATGCCGACATCGCTGTCGCCGTGCTAGCCGCTATTTTCGTTGTGTTATTTATTGTTGATGCAGCAGCGATTGCCGTCGTTGCTGTTGTTGCATTCACAGCAGTGCCTGGTATGGGTATGCGTCCTGTACCCATAGCCGAATGTCGCACATATCTTTCCTTTGGATGCAGGCTGCTGCTGTTGCTGTCAACTGCTGGTGAAGACCAATGTGGCCGTGGCGACTGGACACCACTGCCACAGCTGCTACCCGAGCCAGGTGGGTCGAGAAAGCGATGTGCTGTAGTTGCGGCTGTCGGGGTGGTGGCACGGTACATGTACATTGACTGTGGTGGTGGTGGGGAGGAGAGCGTCGCAAACCGATAGCCTGTAGGTGTACCAGTGGCACTCGCACCCATGCCCCCCATACTTGGCTCAATTGAGGGGCTGCCACTGCGCAGACAGGTCGTCGCCAATGATTGCAGCGACAGCAAGAAGTTCTCAGAGCCCGAGCCGGAGCCGGGAGAAGAGCTTGCGCTGCCTGCACCGGCACTGCTACCCGCTGCTGTTGCCGTCGACGTTGCGCTGCTGCCAATTGCATTCAAGTTTGCACGATTTAATAGTGACCGTCGGACGATTTCGAAGTCGCCGCGTTCTGTTGCTCCCGACTCATTTATAGCAAGCGCAACTAGCTCGGGTTCACGTGCCTCTACCGCGACGGGTTGCTCGTATGTTGTACTGAGGCTAGCGGCTGGCGAGACCTGCCGCAATTGACACAATTTCTGTGTCCAACGTTGGTGTGTACTCTCTGCCGATGATGCGGCAGATCCTCCTGAGCTGCTGTTGCTATATGGATCGATGTAGAGCGGAGAGGAGTCATGTGCATGTGCGCCACCCATGCTACTGTTGCTAAAGGCATACGGATTCGTTGTTATATTGATCACATGTCCACTTCCTACACCAACACCAACGCCACCACCAACAAAGCTGGCTGCTGCACGCGAGGTTGATGGACGACAGGTAGGTGATTGACGTCCGCCACCGACAGCACCACTACTACTACCACTAATACCATAGGAAGTGCTGGCTAGTAAACTGCTGGCAATATAATTGTGCATGTTGCTGCTACCGACAGCATTGCCCGTGCCGCTGCCGCTACCACTCCCACTCCCACTCAAAGCGACAGCATCATTGGGTACGGTAGAGACGCGCATCGCTTGCGGTTGATATTCATCGTCAGCTACGGCGCGTCCTTCGAGTATTAAAGAGGCTAGCCCCAACGTGATCGAGGGCGTTTGTGCGGAAGCTGGTGAGGGGACAGAGCCCGAAATAGTACCAGATGTTGGCGTCGACAACGAGTTTAGCTGACCATTGTTACTTGTACTGTTGTTATTGCCGGTGGTACCGCTAATGGTAGCGGTGGAGGGGGAACTGCTGACTGTGGTTGGTATCATTTTGGCTGATTTGGTTGAACTGGAAGGAAAGGAAAATAAAAATGAGGTTAGTTGAAGATCATAAAATTCTGTGTTTTCTTCTGTTTAATTTAAGCAGGCGGTATTGGGGAAAAAATTAGTTAAATAAGTATATATGTAGGTATTTAATAAATTTAAATTTCTTTATTCACAAAGAAACTAATGTTTTAATGTTTTAAAAGGCAAACCTATGATAAGTTGCCTTCCCAGCTTTGATGAAAGAGTAAAATTTAGAATATGGTCCACAGACTTTAAACTACATAAAATAGTCTTTAAACAGTTTAAAGCGCTACGAAAACTTTTTTGTAGCTTTAAGCTTTGTAAGTATTTCTGCCATGAAAAACAGGTTCTCAATCGCCGTTCGGAGAGTAGGCGTAAAACTCCCCTGTGTGTGTGAGATTTTCTTCCGATTTTCGTGGCATTTTTAACAGAGAATATCTGGCATCACTGATACATGCAGTGGGCGACAAAAATCTACGTACAGTTTTATAAAAATATAGTTCATACTACAACAAAAATCATAATATTAAAACTTCTTAGCTTCTCAGGAAAAATAAATTTTTTATATGGAAGAAAATGCACATCACGGCCAGCAAACATTTAACAACACAAATTTTGTTTGAAAAAAAAAAGAATAAAATACCATTACTAGCCTTCAGACGTAGATTCCATTTGGCTTTATTGGATTTCCTTTACTCAAAGTACCTTCACACGTTTATAACTTTTGCCTTTGAATCTACCATAATGTTGTGCTTGGGCGAAGGCCACATACGGACTGAAAATAAAGAGGGAACTTGAGGTATAAGCCTTTGCTATGAACCAATTTCGCTTCTTAGAGGATCGCTTTAGCCATCTCAATGATGAAAAAGCCCTATCTAGAAACTTTTATTTTTAATTTTTGGCGGCACTTGTGGATTTCGGTCGCGCTGTGCGTCAGTAAAATATGGAAATTTCCGTCACGCCAGTTGCAGAGGAGGGTTAAGAGCTTTACTTTAATAAAAAATGAATGCACCTTAAAAAAAAATCAAAAGAAAAGTGGTCAGAACTGGTCAAAATTTTGAGGTGCGATAGTTTGTCGCGGGCTCTAAAATGAATTTTGGTAGTTTTTCTTTTTCTTTCTTTTTCATAAAGAGCCCCATCATCTTATTAAATTTGGCTGGTTTGCTTTGCTTTATGATGGGCTGAGTGACGACGAGAATGAGTAGAATTTTTGCAAGTGACCTCGCTAATGTTAATTGAAGTGTATAGCTGAGAGGCAAATAGAAAAAATTTACATATGTACATATGTATGTATGTAAGCATGTATGTATGTATACATGGATGTACACGTGTATAAATATAGTGATTTGATGCTCGTGGATAAACTAGGTCACGGTCCAATTGCACATAATGCACAATCAAAGGCATGCAGTAGCATAACTGTACATATGCACATACATACACATATAAATATAATTGAGCATAGATGTACACATGTGAATTAATGCATATAACGGTATAAAAGCAAAAATCATGGCATAGCAACAGTTGCCTTTGATGCAACGTAGCGGCAGCATGCAGCGGACGCGTGGAAGACTCAGCAAGGCACGAGCAACTAACTATGTACATACGTATGTACGGCCTGAGAGCATTTTGTCAAGTACAAGGATTTTCTTAATCGGCACACGCGTATGCTTTTGTACATAGAAATGTATATACAACGTATGTATGTACGAATGTTTGCGCTTATGTACAAGCCCCGCTACCAGCGCTTCCCTTGCGGGTGTTGAGCCTACATACATATGTAGTCTTGAAAAGTAGAACAGTAGTGCGTCGAGGCAGCAGTGAAAGTGTATACTCGTTGTTGTCCTTATCACTTTCACATTTCAATGCGTTGTGTTTCTGTGTATGTATGTAGGTGCATAGCAAACTGTAACGAGGTCGTTACAATAACGGCAACCTCAAATAACAACAACACCAAAATGCAAAAACCCTACAACAACACATACAATGTGACATACAATGCAATTTCCGCAATATGAATGCCTGAACGTGTAACTATTTTAGGGCCGAAGGATACGGATATGGATATGGATGCAACCATGAAGCCATGAAGACACATACATACATACATACTTACATAGGTAGGTGCATAAATAAATAATCATAAACACATACATACATATGTAGTAGGTATTTGAAAGAAAACCAGGCCAACTTAAAAAAAACTTAAATAACGCCGAAAGTAGGTCAGCGCATAATGGATACCGAAGCGTGCCCCTGTTCACTTTTCTTAGGCCATTCTGGTTGGACGTTTGATTGAAATTTATTGTGAGTGCATAATGAACAGCAACGGAGCTTGCAAGTATACATATATGTATGTTTGTATGTATGTTTGTAAGTAGTGGGTGCAAAATGTTGATGTGAATTTATATGCTTATTTTAATTTTTCATAGAGATCATCAGATGACAGCATAAAGACTCACCGCATAAAAGCCACACAACAACTCTGTGGCGCCTTTAGTTCAATGTGTGGAAAGTGTGTCAATGTGCCGAGCATACATACATAAATTTACAAAATGATCAACTTAAAAATTTAGAAAAATTTTGTTAAAACAGCGAACAAAAATGAATGTATAGAATTAAGCAAAACAGGGCGGATTGAGAAACTTGATACTTATGAAGATGTTAAGTAATGAATTGTATAAACAACTAGTTAAAAAAAAAAACAACAATAGTCGACCTCAATGCTCATTTTTAAAAATTTTAAGTACCCCAAGTTCCCATCAGTATGAGAACGCACTCGAGGTGCCATCTCCCCGATAAAAAAAAAGAATTATCGAAAACGGTTCACGTGGTCCAAAGTTATCCGGTAGCATATATACATTAAAAAATATGTACAATGTAAGAATACAAAACGGTAATGATGACGTATTACATTACAAAATAGTAGCGATATACGCACTATCGATAACGATAACAAAACGAAACATATAACGCTGGTATTTGTACATTTAATGATAAGTACCAGGTTGACCGAGCTTTTCGCGGAGTGCGTATTATACTTTTTACAGTTTTCAAGATTTCAGTAGCTTTAAAAAAATATTTTGGAAAAATAATTTGGATTTCGATATCTATTAAGTAAATTTCTTACTTCAAAATTTAGGTGGCAACCCTATTCCGAAATACGCTGGAATGAATGTTACATATTTTTAGCGCATATGTACTGTGTATACCAAACAAAAAAATGCTGATTGAAATTAACAAAACACAATTTTTTATTATATAGAAGCGTGCAGCCATGATGGAAGATATTTTCATATCATTTGCAACAAATTTAAGTTGAAATTACTTGCTAATAATACAAACACTCAGAGAAAAATTTGAATAATAATTTGAAAAATAACAATTTTGTACTCCGCATAAGAATATTCGGTATTAGCGTACTTTTGTGACCAAAATTCTTGGTTTAGACTTGATTTAAGAACGAAATTCTTTATTTTTTTCTGAGTATACTTATTTATTTGTTTTTAATAATTTTCATTTAAAATATACATATGTATGTATGTAGTTCGATCTATTACAGAAGCCTTTGTACAAAATTTATAAAAACGTAGCATCATCTTTTAAATCTGAAATTTTAGAAAAAAATTGTTATTGTTCATGCGTTATATGGAAGAAAATTCGCAAAACCCTCGACAAAAAAATTAAAAAAAAATCAAAGGTTATTTTTTTGACTTTAAAATTGTACTAAAATTAAATGTGCTACAAACCAAACTGCATACATACTAAAAATTCTGATTAAAAAGTAGAAATTTTTTATTTTTTTTTTTTAAATTTTATTTTATTTTTTTTTCATAAGGTTTGTGTATAGTTCTAAACTTATATTTACATGGCTTCTGTTAAAGAACGAATTAGGTATATTTTAAATTAAAATTATTAAAAATAGCAAAGGCAGATGTCGCGCTACTATTCTGCATGGTCTGTGTTTAAGCCCGGTTCAACCCACCATCAAAATATAAAAAAAAAAACAAAAACAGATTTTTTCTAATAGCGTTCGCTCCTGCCTAGCAGAATTAATATCTGAGTATTTGTGAGCTCAAGAAGATCTCTCGACCGCCCGCTGTCCACCTTCGGCCAGTAAGAGCGTGCAGTTGCACTTGGCTTTGCTTTGATAATCTATCAAGTTTTGAAAAATTTCAGTTTATTTTTATGTTACAAAACCGAGCGCGGAAACAGTTGCAGTTTCAGCAATAAACCATCAAATCTGACCTTCTGCAGACCTGCTACTTCCTTGCTGCTTATATGTACATATGTATATCCATACAGCAATATACTTCATATTTACTCGTAAATTTGTGGCACATTTCAACAGGTCAAGACAGACAGTAAAGTTCTACATAAATTTCGATATTCACATTTTTTTTTGTTGTTGGTGAAATGTAGATGACCTAGTGAACCAGTTGCAAGCAAACGCGAGTTGCACAATTGAAAGTTTAATACGTAAATAGAAGCGAATATACAAAGTTTGCGCATTGTATGCCAGCAAATATGTACATACAAAATTGTCTACATATGTACATGTGTAAGCTTTTGTATCTATTTGCATAGTATGTATGTCAGTTTTTTTTTGGGGGTAGCTGACCCAATTCTCTCAAAGTGAAACCAGGTTGAGTCAAAGCGGAATATTGATTTTTGCAAAATTGCCTGGAATCACGCAGACGGAAATGTTAAGCAGAAAGGAATATAAAAACAAGTGGAGCTTTCTGGTGTGGAATGAACAATATTTTTATAAAAAATGATCGAAAATAAATTAGAATAAAAACCTTTGCATATATGGCGAAAAATTCACTGTGCCAATACTTGTGTTCGTCACTGTATGTATACTTATGTACTAACTTGTTGAGTTCCTGTATAACAATAACTGTGAAAAGGTCTTAAAAAAGACCTTAACGACAATTCAAAAGCATCTCTTATAAAAATAGAGGCAAAGGAAAGGAACCATCTGAATACATACATGGAATTTTTAAGTACAGATGTAC